AAGTGGTCGCACCACCGAACCGGTCAAAGCTCAAAAAGCGCTTGGACAGCTCCGACACCTGGCAGCTGCAGCTGCTCTGTATCCGGGCTGAGGGGCGAACAGCCCCCGATCCAGGGCCACGCTCCATCCAGCAGCTTCTGACGGCAGAGCGGACTCCGGGAAAGGTCTGACCCGCCTGCTCTGCCGCTCGCAAGGGCACCTGACGCTGAGCAGCACCAAGAGGTGCTTCTAGAGCCCTCGTTTAATAACAAGCAAGTTCCTTGTTGCTCCTTAAAACAAAAATAATAAAGCTTTGTAAATTGTGATGCTTTCTCTGCAGAACTACGTGTGCCTTTTTTCCCCGTGCTTATGATTTTTCCTGGAGAAAACTCCAATATATGAAAAATAATTTCCTAAGTTACGAATACTTCAAGGGAGCACACACAGCCCCTGGGAGAAGCAGGTAAGGCTGGTTTTAAAACACAGGGTCCACTGACTGTTCAGGGATACTCTAAAGACTTGGCCAGTCCTGTGAGGACAGGTGTCCATCCATCCTACAGGTGCCGAACACACAAGAGGTACTGCTGATGTCCTACACCCCTCCTGGATTTTTCCCCCTACATTTGCAACAGCTGTGAGATTACTCTTAGCATGTTTTGGTCCTTTGCACTCACCTCATTTCCTCCCAGACCATTTTCTTGTAGTCACTCAATCTCCCCATTTTCTGTTTTTTTGGGGATTTTTTCAATCGCATTATAATTCCTTTCCAGAGTGTTTGGAAGCCTTTCTTTTCTGTTTTGCAAGATTTTGTTTCCCTTCCTGAAAGGAAATTTCATTTCATCAATTTTCACACACTTTGGAAGACACAACTTGGAGGGGAAGAGATGAGGGACATGGCATGGATACTTAAAAAAAAAAAAAAAAAAGAAAAAAAAAAGAAAAAATCTTCACCAAAGTGAAAACCATCAAAAGGCATGGCACGCCATTAAGTGCAGGGCCGCGCACCAAAGCTTGCCAAAAGAGATCCCCATTGAAATCCTGGAAACAGAAAGGCAGGACTTATAAACATGCAGGAATGGAAATACCATCAAAGGAAATAGAATTAAAGGGAAAAAAAAAAAAAAAAAAAAAAAAACCTTGGGAAATTTAGTGACTACAAGAAAATGGACTGGGATTACATCAGGTGCAGCGCAAAGCACCAAACCATGCCAAAAATAACCAAAAAAAGGAGTAAAACACAACTTGGAGGGAATGTTGTCATTTTATTGCAGGGGTTCCATACCATTGTCTCCTTATTGCAAAAGCTTCATATCTTCTCAGTGTTTCTTATAGGCAGCTGCTCCTTAGAGCACTGACTCTTTCTTCTTTATAAAGTAGCCAACTGACTCCTTTTAACTTCTCAACCTGCCAACCTGCTCTTTTATAGCACTCTTCTTCTCATTGGTTACAGCTGTGGCCTTTTAAAGTCAGGCCTGTTCCTAATCTTTGATAATTGGCCCAGCTGCAACTCCTTAGGGGTAAGCTTTCTTTCTACATCATCTTTATTTTCTTATATTCTATCCCCCAACAAGGGGAAGAAATGAGGGACATGGCATGGATACTTAAAAAAACAAAACAAAACAAAACAAAAAACCCACAAAAAAAACCCCAAAAAAACAAAAAAAAAAACCAACAAAAAAAAAATAGAGAAAATCTTCACCAAAGTGGAAACCATCAAAAGGCATGGCATGCCATCAAGTGCAGGGACATGGCCCAAAGCTTGCCAAAATTGATCCCCGTTGAAATCGCAAGATTTCATTTCCCTGTAGGGGGATAGAATATAAGTAAAAAAAGGTAGCAGAGAAAGTAACCTTACCCCCTAAAGAGTTGCAGCTGGGTTTATTATTAAGGATTAGGAGCAGGCCTGACTTTAACAGGCCACAGCTGTAGCCAGTCAGACGAGTGCTATAAAAGAGTGGATTGGGTGGTTGAGGGGACTGGAGTCAGTTTGCTGCTGTGAGGACAAGGAAGAGTCAGTGCCCAGAGGAGCTGCCTGCAAGAAACATCAAGGAGGTATGAAACTCTAGCAATATGGACCCCTTGCAATGTAATGATAATAGAACTCTTGCTCTATAATGACAACATTTCCCTTCCTGAAAGGGGGAAGGGAGATCAACGGGGATCTCTTTTTTGGCAAGCTTTGGTCCACGTCCCTGCACTTGATGGCACACCGTGCCTTTTGATGGCTTTCACTTCAGTGAAGATTTTTTTTTTTTTCTATGTCTCCCATATCTTCTACTCCCATAGCTGTCCAAAGAATAGGGTTTTGTGTTTTGAAGTCCTGAAGTTTGGAAACATTAGCAGTCTTTCACTTCCCCATAAAATAAAAAGTAAAGTAGTCCCAGAACACTGTACTTAAGACAACAATGCTTTCCATTTAATTTTTGAGAACCATATCAGAAACAAAGAGTAAATGTTGAAAGATAATGTCTGGTACTACAGTTACTTTCATTTATTCAGTAGATCTCTAAACTGAATGGAAAGACAAAACCCACTTTATAAAATAATTCATGAAGGAAAGATAGAGCAGAGGAAGATAAATCAATAGACTTAGAAGATAGTTTATAATTCGTAGTACTCATTTAGCATTTCATAAACAGTGCCTTTCAGTTTTCAAATACCTGTAGAATATGAATCCATTCTACAGATAATGTTTTTTGAGCTCTGCAAATCAGCAGACTAATATATGGCTAAATATCCTTCAGCTTGAGGGCTGTAAAGCACAGTCTGGCCCTCTATTGCAATGCATTCCCTCAAATTGTCTCATGTTTGAAGGAAATGTTTCCATTTTGAATTTATGTAATTCCCAAGTCAACTCTGTGGAAATCTTGTTAATAGCTACAGCCTATTAACACAATTTAAATCAAATTTAAACTTTCAAAATAATCTGTGGACTAAGTCTATTGACTTAAAATTAGCACATGAGAATATACAAATATTCCAAGATGTGTACATCTGCTCAGAGTATTGTAAATGTTTCTTTACTACACTTTTAGGAATAAAGTCAAGCGGCATTTGTTTTTTTCTATTTGTGCAATGGGAATAATCAAAGCAAAACAACACATTGTGTTACGGAGAAAAAATTTTCAAGTCTCTATCTTGATTTTTAAATCCTAATGTAAACTGCTGACAGCTGGAAAAATATATTCTTTTGAAGCATTTCAACTCAGTTTGGGTTGGGTTTTTTCAGGCCACATATTTCAGCATATAAACATCGAAATCTAGGGTACTACCACATTTATTCAGAATTTTTTGAGAAGAACATAATTTTCATGAAATTTGAAAGAAACTTTTCAAACATTCTGACATTTTTTCATTTTTTTCATTGCATCATGAGTGCTAATAGGCAGCAATCAGGAGATACAACAGAAATAAATGATCATAGTAGACAGATAAATATTAAATAGAAAGTCTTAAGGAGATAGACAATGGACAGCTACACTGGATAACTATCTTTGCATATTTCACAAAAACATTATTTTTACTAACATTAAATTAATGTTATTAATTAATCCATTAATGTGCACTATTTTATGATATTGTAACATAAAAATGTGGCCTCTTTGTCCTAATATATTAAAGGCCTACATTATTTCTGAGTAGCTTTAGATCTCTCTTTGTAATGACCCTAATGGGAAATTTGTCATTGAGCTTAGTTTGCAGAAAGTGCAAAGCAGTAATTTGGCACCCTCAGATAGCAGATCTCCATTGCACCTCAAACACGATTAGCATGGAAGCACATGACACCCTGCAGGCTGGAGAGTATGTGCTCTACAGCCCAGTGTTTTCCCCCCTAGTCTGCAAAGATAAAATCAGTCTGAGAGGACAACTCAGAGTGCTTATCTTCTGTTTTAATGGGCAGTGACGAAGACTTCAGTGCCACATGGAGCCCTGGTGTCCTCGGCAGCATGACAAGCTGTATTGCTTACAAGGATCTGAAGAGCTTCACTATTTTTAGCTCTTGGAGAAAATTTCTGAAACTTTTGATACCTCTTAGACACCAACAGATGGATCACTTGTTGCCTCCAGCACATTTTCATGTTTCCACAGAAAGGTAGGCAAAGAGATTAGTTTTGCCTCATCTTCCTTCCTACCATGTAAATACAAAAACATTGTTAATTTTTTTCTACCAGTTAATAAAACTGGGACGTTGAACAAAGACCTTATTACAAAGACTGTAATTAATCTGTTTAAAACAGATGTTGTTTTGCTTGTGGAAGCAGATCTGCCCACATATTTCTTAAGTGCATTAATGTAGGATGGTTGTAAAGTACCCCCTGTAGTTCAGAACTACATAATAGTAATTAAAAATCACACTTTGTATTTATGAGTCATTCATCGGCAGAGAAAGAAGGGTCAGAATATGTTTCACAGTTTAACATACCGCTGAGAAAATACTGAACCAAGTCCTGACTCATCCCTTGAGGTTGCCTCCTCAGAAACTTCCTACTGCTTCCAAACACGAGTTGTTACCATTTCAAACTTCTCTATTTGGAGAAGCACGCCACAGACGCCTGTGTCAGCTCCTGGGCTTGCATCAGTCATACTCCTATTTAGAGTCCCCATCGCACTCCCGAAGAACTCTGTGCCGCGCAAATGCTCAGTATGAAACCAACATAACTAAATCCTTGACTATGCTAAAGAAGAACCAACCAAAACAGCAGGACGAGCCAAAACACCCACATAAACTACTTCCCCCGCTCCTTTCTTGCCCCCGCTCGCAGTGCCCTGCTCCCACGGTACCCGGCTGGCCGCTGAGATGCTCCAGGGAGGCAGCGGGGGGGATACCGTGGGGCCGCTTTCCCCGAGAGCGTGCGCCCCCGGCCGCGGGCAGCCGTCGTGGTGAGCGGCGGTGCCGCCCCGTGCCGCCCTCCGGGGCGGGGCCTGGGGGCCCGGGGGAGAGGGGCGGGCAGCTCCGGGGCAGCGGGCCGAAGGTAACGCGGGCGGGGGGTGCGTGTAGCGTGGCGAGGTCTGAACGCGAGGCAGCGGAGGTCGGATTTGAGGGTGTCCCTGCTCCGGCCTCTCTCGGCTCCCTCTTCCCGCCCCCTGCCCGCCGTGGGGCTGCGCTCCCGCGGTGGCAGCCGGGCAGGAGGGAGCTGCGGTTCGGCCCGCCCGAGGTGTTTCTGAGTAGGCTTTAATGCCTGGCAGAATGCTCTCTGCCACTGGGACCCTCAGCTGCGCGAACAGCTAAGGTGGGACTTGTAGGCCTGGCGCGGACTCAGCTTGTGTTTGCTTTCACTTCTTATGCTTTAAATTCCATGCGTAGCAAATCGAAAGTCATCCAAATAAATGGCAGCATTTACCAGGGGAGGGAAAGCTCTTAATTTTATTTTTGGGTTTTTTTTTTTACACTTTACACGGGCTCTGGCATCCTCCTGTGGCCTGGAGGCCTCCCGCTTCCGGTGCTTGGGAGATTTGCATTGCTTGCAGTTTGTGCAGACGCCTCTGTAATGATTGTTTATCTGGAGTTAAGGCTTTCTGCTGTCGCGGTGACATCGGTGCTGGAGCAGAGCTCTGTGCTGGTTGCCGTGCGAGGAGGGCGAGGAGTCGCCGTGCTCGGCGCTTCCCCGGGAAGCCGGCGGGGCTGAGCGCGGCCCCTGCTCCCTCCGGGTCACCCCGACACCGCTCAGAGAGAGCCCCCATCGCACTGAACGCTGTGAGAGGGACGCTGCTGAAATCGTGCCGTGCCGGTGGGCGTGAGTACTGCCTCTGAAAAGGCTTCGGAGTGCCTTTTGCAGTTACTCGGACCGGTACTTGGGCTTGGGATGCATGGCTAGCTGGGAGTGGACAGTGGAGGTAAAACTTACCGGAGCTAAGAGTGTTGTTTTAAGTTAAGTTAATGCTTCTGGCACACAGTGTCGTGACTTGGCTTGTCTAACTCGTTATGGCAGATGCAGCGCATGCTGATTTGTTAGGGATGCTACCAAAGCCTTGGGTGTTCATTTTTGTGGCTTTAGATACCAGGCTAACTGTCGTAGATCTTATCTCTGGACATTGTTGCCGGCATTTAGCTGTGTGCATGCTGTGTCATAACCATGGGCATCTCCCTTTGGTGCTTGAATGCTCTTCTGCAGCATCTTCTCTTCTGATTTTACATGCTGAACTAAACTGTAGAGCAGGAGATTTTATATTAATGAGAGGCTTGCTAGTCAAGCTAATTGTTAAAAGCAAAACAGAAATAAAGTAAGGGAGTAAAATAAGAGGTGACTAATTGTTAGTGTCCAAAAGAAGCATGTGCTACATCATCACTCCCCTCAAGAAGATATATTTGAATTCAAACTATAGTGAATGTGTTAAAGGAGGATTTCCTCAATGTTTATCACAGGTTCTCTCTAGTGTTTGATAAGCCTGGGCAGGTAATTTTGAAAACAGCATGGAACAATGCTAATATTGTTAGTGAAATAGACCTTGCCTTGACTGGGTTACTAACGCATAGAAACACACATAGAAACATACACAGAAACACGTGTTTTGCATTCCTTTTCTAGGTACAGTAAACCAAGAGTAATCCCAAAGCTGTTCTTGCCCTTTGGAATTTTAGCGATAATAAAAGTGGTTTGATAGCCTAGTGTCAAGTAATAATTTTATGTATGTGTGCAGGTTTCATTTTGAAGTTAAGTTTTCTACGTTATGAAATCTTTTGGAAGGTCTTGACTTTTTTTTGTAACTAACTTTCATATTACAAAATCCCTGTTTCATACTAGAGAAAAGTTGGTGTAAGATTTGTTAAATCTGTTCTTTATTGTATTTGTGAAATTAGTAATCTAGTGTATTTTTAGTAAACAGAAGCAGTTTTTATTAAAAGTGTATGTGCTCTATGCGTTTTAGTTGTTAATGCAGTTTTCATTTGGATGCGTCTGTTTCCTCAAATGCACATCATTCAGCTGCCTTTAAGGTGAAATTGATGCGTTTTTCACCTTCCACCATCAATGTCACAGACAAAAAGTCAGCTTGAATAAATCATTCAGTCTGTCTTGATAGTGTTGTGGGACCTGCAAGGTTGTCTTCTGAGCTAAATCCTTAGAGTTTATGTATTGTTTATGAGTGGAAAAAAGTGAAAGTTACAGATTGTGGGCTTTCAAACCTGCTTTGTTGCGCTATGTTCTGAGTTCAGAACAATATGTAGAATAAATCAGCACCTTCTGCTGCTCTGATGGCAGCATTTTTTTAAGCCCCCGCTCTGTTCCTGGTGGTTACTTGGTCAAACATAAGAATACAGTGAGAAAGCAAACAATTACCTTTATGCTTTTTTTGCTGCTTAGTCACTGAAAAAAAAAGCTTCTTTCTGTCTACAAACTTACATCAAAAGAAATGCTGTAATGCTTGCTGAGTTATTTTTCTTTCATAATCCACTTCCTTAAGATGTTTCTTCCACACCTTTGTAGAGTGCAGCTTTTTTTTGGTGATGTGTGATGTTACTGTCCTTTAAGAGGTACTTCCTGCTTTTTGTAGGTAGGGCAAAATTTTACATGAATCTTACACTTCTTATATCTCTCCAAATTTTGTCTTTATAGTTTTTCATGCAGAAAAGTAGTCTTGCTTGGTTGGTTTTCAGTTCAAAATAACAGAAGATGAAATCATTAAGCAGGTCTATAAGGCAGAATCTCACATCATTAATTCCTGTTGTTCAAATTAATGAGACTGGAGATCACTTAAGGTGCAGAACTCTTGGGGAAGTTGGCTATCCAGCACTTACTTACTTGTGACTTTTTTATACACTGTATAATGATATCAATTTCTTTAATACAGCATATATGTCTTTCTTTGGCTAGCTTTTGCTGAAGATTAGTTCTGCATTATTGTTTGCTTTTCCATACAAGTAGCACTCTCCAAATGATCTTCTGAAATTATTATTAATTTTTTCTTATTTTACCTGGTGAAATTCCTTCCGGTGTTTTTAAGAAAGTAGATCGGAAAGATAACAGTTGGCAGTTAATATTTGTGATTATATCTTCTGTTAGGCCAAGTACCTTGATAATGTATCTATTACAAATTAGAGAGGCATTTATGTATGAAATAGAAGAATGTCTTAAAGATGTTAGCTTCCTCACAATTTAGCAATGTGATAAATTTAACTGGTTAATATTACAGTTGTTGCCCAAGCCCCTCGTGAGTTTTGAAATCCCCACACATTTTGCAAGCGGGGAAGCTCCCTCCTTTGTACTTCAGCTCTGGCACAGTGTTTGCAGAACTGTGTAGTTCTGCAGGCTGGGTCCACAGCCACATAACAACTGTGGGAAAATGGGTTCTTCTTTATAATGAGCTGTGAATATGAATTATGCTGAGTTTTCTCAGTGTAATGGCTGAATCAGCCATGTCTTCGCTGGTGTCAAAACAGGCTTTACTTGACTGTGGTAAGAATGAATTAAAAAAAACATCCATAGGAAAAAAAAATACGACTCATGTAGTGAGAGATCTTTGAAAGGTCACCTAGGTTACACACAGTGTCTTGTGGTGTAGGGTTGTCATTTTGAGAAGGTTGGGAAGTAGTTTTGGAGTTTTTAATAACTTGCATTGCATGTAAATATGTGCACATACATCCCTTTCTAGAAGGTAGCATTTGAAATGCTGTGAAATGTCTGGCAGATCTGGGAGACAGTTGGGATTTTTGACCTGTGCCAAGTAGAAGTCCTTCTGTTTCTGAAGGTTGATTTGTTTTTTTTATCCCCTGACTTCCAAGGTCCATGAAGTATTAGGCAAATTGTGCATGGTTCCATAGAGGCTATCTCAGGTTTATAACAAGAACAGTAACTTCATGTGGTTTTCGTAGCGTTTTAAAAAAATATTAGTTCAGTAGTCAACTGGCACTTAGACAGAATTTCTGCTTTGGAAATCATCCTTGGCTTCCTGTGAGTTTCTAATTTTGGCCTTGGCCAATCCAACACGAATATTCAGTATTAAGTTCAAAGTGTCTTTAATGAATCGCTTTGGGCATTTGAGCTGACTGCAAGTAGGGTCTTCAATTACGGAAATATAGCTCTGTAGAAGGTTTATATATTTCTGTTAATTGGAAGGTGGCTCTGTGGCAACTGTGTGCAAGTGAAGGAAAAAAAGGAAACAGTGATCTCATCCTTGATGGGATTAGTTTATGAAAATTACCATCCAAGCTGGGCAATCGGGCACAGCCCTGAAAGACATCCCCATTTACCCATGGTTGTAAATCTAAATTAGAGTTACGATTACCTGCTATTTCTGACATAGTAGGTTTCTTTTGCATTTTAATATTTAAGTGTGTTGGATAGGTAACAGATTTCTTCTTTCAACACCTTTTTACAGTATTTGGATAACAAAATGAAACCTGCCAAGCTGCACTTTTGGATTTTGGGTTGGTTTTTCATGGCGCTATGTTGTTGGTGTACTTCAGATACTTTTACTCAAAGGTAAGTTTTGCTTTTAAATGAAACATCTGACAACTCACTCTTAAGTGCAGATCAGGATGGTTTAACTTCTAATGTAAATTTGTTATTATGTACTATTTTTGATGTGTTAGTCTACCCTTAGGTGGTTTATAGTAAGGTGACTACATTAACAGGAGGAGCAAGGATCGTGCCTGAGGAAACCTTTAGATGTGTCAGCATGAAGGAAGAGGGGAAACTTAAATTCCATTTGTTGCACTTGAAACTTTTCTCATCTTGCTATACAGACATCATTTAGAGTTGTGATGTGGTAATGACAAAAACTGAAAATTATTTTGACACTCACAGCAAAAAATCTGGAGTCATCCCTGTGGCATGAACTGCACTAACTGTTGCATTGTTTACTCTTTTATTTATCTTTTCTTTTCCTTGCTGTTTTCTCAATTCTGACAATATAAAATTTTTTGTATGGCATCCCAACTGAGGCTGTATCAGATTGCTGCACCACCTTTTGATGGTTGTTGCCCCTTGGCAAAATCTTGAGTTTCAATACAATGGGCCATTGGAGAAACCACACCCCAAGTCACATTTCTGCGGTCAGAGCTGAAATTCCAATTGCGTTATGTGAGGAAATAAACTTTTCTGCTTCCTTTTAGTGCTTTGGCAGGACAATGGTTAGGGGTGCTCAGTTTAGTGCTGAAGTTTTCAGTGCCTACATTGCACTTGGTGGGTAGCTTAGACATTGTGCTGATGTTTCTTCAGTCCCCAGGATTTAGGCTCTAGCTTGGCCATCTTGGCAAAGAGTCAGCTCTAGAGGCACCTTCCTGAGCTGCACAGAGCATGATAACTCAGGTCCCAAGAAGGGGGAATATCTCTGCAGCTGCATAGGTATTGAAAATGGCTTTCCTTGGATGCCAGCTCTGCTTAATACGTACAGTTTTCTGATCCGTCTTTAGCCACAAAGTGTGTTCTAGGAGAACTCTGGCATGATTGATATTGCAGAAGTTTAGCTGCTATTTCAAATACAGATGACAGATCAAATGAAATGTCTAATGAAAGATCATTTCTAAGCTAGGGCTTTTTAAAACCAAGGAAATAAATTGCTCTGCAATATAGGGCAATTCTTCTATTCAGGTTTCTACAGCAACAATAAAGACCCCTATAAAAGTGTTAATAGTCTTCATTGTGGCTATGCCTGGTAAGTTCCATAGCTATTCTTCTAAATTGTATAGAAAACCATGGGTACATGTGAATGCTTAAGAGAAAATGTCGCCATTGCATAGTAGAAAAACTAGAGGAAAAAACTGACATGTGATATAACATGGAAGCATCCCTAGGCTGTCCTCAGATTGAGAAGAATTAGCTTGTTGTTTTATTCTTTTTTTTTTCTAGTTTTTCTTTTGGTAATATATCCTCTTGCAAGAGCTAATGACTGACATGTGGCTGTTAGCTTCCAGAGAATAACAACTTATTTTGACAGTTCTACACATAATGTTGTCAGTTAAAATAATTTACAATTCTGTTTATTTTTTCCCATTTGCTGTTCTATTTAATTACTTTGTCTGGTTGCTTAATAACTAAATATATCTGCTGTAGTGTCTGATGCAACAGGTTTTTTATTTATATCTGCTTAACCAGAATAGGTCTGCTCCAAACTGTTGAAAAAGGCCTCTATAGAAATGATCTGATACAGGCTTCCAACACTTCTTGAACAAATTTTTGAGGGTTTTTTCCCTCCTCTGCATACTTAAGAAATGGAAAGCATATGGAGATAGGATGGCAGAAGGAGAATTTGTTTAACAATGGGGATATTAGCATGTTTCCCTATATGTTGTTTCTCTCTGAATCATTAGTTTGGAGTGTGTGCCTGAAGGTGTTCTTTTTAAAATACTTGTAGAAAAATAAATTTGTCTGTCTCTCTCCAGCGACATCCACCCTCATGCCTGGAAAAAGCTGTATTTTGCTCATCATTGGCCAGTGACTGTATGTAAGGTGAGATTTTTGTGTTTCTCTTTTTATCCTAACAAAGGTAGCATTGGATAATAAATGTATGAAAACAGAGTGAATAAAGCCCATTAAGTCTTTAATCTTGGTTATGCCTTTATAAAGGAGAGATTTTGGTGAGTTGCAGATAGAGTTGTCAGTGTAGGGTGTACTGTACACTAAGCCTGTTACAGGATTTGTGACATTTTATTAGTTATAAACTTAATCCTAGACTTTCATCAGACTCTGTAGGAAGACTTGCCTTGTTTGGCTGATGACAGTTCAGTATTTGAACTATCTGCTGCACAATAAGGCTTTTAGCATTGTAATTATGACTCTAGTATTTCTATGATGTCATCAAATAATGATTCAGTCGGGAAAGAGAGCTATAAAGATGTTGTGGCAGGTGTCTCTGAGTATTTCTGCATTTCTTGTTGTATTTGAGGTGTATGAACCCAACCTTCCAACACGGATCAGTCAAAGCACAGCTAAGAGGGGGGTACTGTTGCTATTAAGTATCTACTACCATCTGATAAGTAGAACACTTTTCCTATACTGAAAGTACTCGGAGGTCTCTTCCCATACAGTTAAGTAAAAAATATGATCAGATTTACTGACACAAGGTAGAAGAACCTTGTGGATAATGCAATAGCTTCAGGTTCAGCCAAATGAATGTGGAGGGTAATATCATTAACAAAAGTCAGATGTGTGTGACTGAGACGACTGTCCTGGTTTTTGTTTGCCTGTTTTTCTGTGGAAATAAGGAAAGATTTGATGCAATTTCTGTCTGATTTTCTGTTGATTAAACATCGCTGTTACTGACTTGAAGCAGAGATGATAGTGTTGAAGAGTTTGTAGTGCCTAGCACGAGTCAATGCTCAAAGTCAGTAGCAGTGCAAACCCTTGCTTACATGAATGAGAGCAATTGGGGAAAAAAAAGAAAGACTAAGCAACACAAAATTAAAAAAATAAGCCCTACCAACCAGTTTTCCCACTGTGTATTTATGCTGGTTACTCATCTGAATTCCAGGGTAGAGTAATTGATAAATTGAAGAATAAGTTGCATAACCTGCTCGTGAAGTTGAAGTGAATAATTGAAGGTATTGCGCATCAGAAAATGTAGGCTTCCTTGCCCTTTGTTGATTTCTTATAATATGTTGTAGTAAGAAGTGGACAGAGGCATTCAAAGAAGTGCAGAAAAAGAGAGATCAAAATCATGTTAAGTAACTTTTTTTTTCTTAGTTTCCCATCATTGAGTCATATGACGAAACAAGATCTCAACTGTACTCCTATAACAGCTTTCTTGTTTTACATAAGAGGAATTCCTAAATTCTGGAATTAATTTAAGTATTTTTAAGTAGGTAGATTCTTCTGTGTGTTTGGTGTATTTATATATGATAACTGGTGTTTTTCGGGGTGTAAATATTTTTAGTGTTATTATTCAGTTTAAAACTCTTGACATGATTTTGAAAGGAAAAAGCTGTGAAAGAAACAGCAAAAGTCATTATGTCACTTATGGCAAAAACCTGTGAGATACTTTTTTTCTGAAAGTACTTCTTAGTTTATGTCTCCTGTATAAAGGAATCTTATTAGAGAATCTTTCATACACAGCGTGTTCTTAAGGTATGTGGATGAGCTCCTTCTTAACTCCTACCTGTTTTGGAGATCTGTGCTTGAAAAGTTTTTTAGGCTTTTGAAGGCCCAAAAAATTTAGAGGGCACAGATCAGCATGCCAGAAATTTGAGAGTACATCTCTCCCAGCTCTTCCTGCGCTTTAAAAAGTAACTGTTCAGCTGATGTTCTTTAATACTGAGTGTGATTGGCACAATTAAATTGGAAAGTGTTTTGTATTCATATCTCCAAACTATCTCATTAAAATAAAGTGATACCGTGGCAGCAGTGATAACCCCAGGAGCTAATTACTGACTACTACAGTGAAAAGTGTGAAGGAGGAAGAGAGGTTTTCTTCCTTGTAATGTGATTAGAATTTCCAGTACCATATAATTGACCTAAGGTGGCTATGTCTTATGCAAAGATATCTAAGCTAGATTCATAGACCTCAAGTGACTATGAAATTCATGTTCCCTTAAAAAATTGTGCCTGTGGCTAATTCATGCCACACTTTTCAGTAACAAATGAGTGTGACTTAAGAGCATCTCAAGGCCAAGAAGAGGGACTTTCCTACTCCCTTTTTATAGAGTTGTGAAAACCTTTTATTCCAGAACTTACAAAGAGAACTATTATTTCAGCTCTGGCATCCTGGGGATTGCTAAAAGATGAATTTTTTAATGTGGTTCAGTTTTTTTGTGTGTGTGTGAAATGTGGAGAATCCAGTGCAAGTTTGTAAGTTCCTTCTCTGTTAGGAATGGGAAGTACAATAAAGAAATGGTACCTGCTGTCATCTGCCTTTTTCTTCACATATGTCCTCATTAAAGGAAAGAGTCAAAAAAAGGACAATGGAATAGAGTAATGAGCAGAACAGCCTGAATTCAAGTTTGAATGTTAAGCAACAGATGATTTTTTTAAAATTTTTATTTTTCAATATGAGATAAAAATTTTTCTTAAGTTCAGGCTTTGGCAATAATTTTATAGCAGAGGCTTAAGTGAAGAATAGAAATACTAGTTTTCCTTCTTTTTTTGGTAAAAACAGAAGTAGTCACATAATACAGAAAGAATTAAAGTGACTAAAGGAGGAAGGGGAGTAATTGCACAGTGTTTGAGGGGAAGAAGTTGAGGAGGTGAACTCTTTCCATAGTTCGAAAAGCAAGAATTTTTCTTTGCAGTTGCCATGTTTCATTGCAAAATAACATATAATTTATCTTCATTCAAGAGATGACTTACTTAAGCAAGGTGGTTGGAAGGGAGAACAGGAGTAAATATGTCACTTCCCAGAAGCTGATTTTTTATTTCAATTTAGTGTATCTGTATGCGTTCCAGTAGCACTACTCTCACATTTACCAGCTGCTGTACCAAGGGATTTGTAACTTGGGCAGCTCAACAGGTGACGCTTCTGGGACATGCCGATGGTATTTCATTTTTTGGCATTTCAGAGATGATAAAAGCTTCCATGCTTCTGGCACATGCTGTTTGGGCAATGACTTGCTGCTACAAATAGGCTAATCCCTCTGCTGAAGTGTTCCCTCTCAGCATGGTGGGTGCTCTACACCCTCACCAGCCCTTTGCTCAGTTTTATAGGTCATGTATGGTTCATTTGGATTGGTTTGATCAGATTGCTTTAAAACAGGAGAAAACAATGCTTCTTTTTCAATTGAATCTAGGTATGTAGGGCTTTCTGGGGTCCAGTGCTCACTTGAAAATAAATATTTGTACCTCTGTTTCTAGTCAGTCAGTCTCTAGAGATTGAATTTAATCTTCCAGCAATCAGTCTGTGATAAACAGGAAGGCTGACAAGAAGTGGTTTTGCACCAGCAAGCAGGGGTACCCAGCTTTGCAGACCAGCATTTGCATTTTTTATTATATTGATTTAAAATTAACATTGGAGCGATACTAAGGTTAGAGTGAAATAGGAGATTGAATGAAGCTGGCTAAAGCATGCAGAGTGTGAACTAATGTGTTGTAGGTTGCAGTGACCTCTCAGTTCTGCCAGGCCACAGGGTAACACCAAGAGTCTGATGAAACAGATAGAAGAAATTGCTAGGAAGGTTAGTGCCATGATTTCAAATCTGAAATGCTCTGGGTGTTCCTTTAGCATGTCTGAGAACTGCAGTTAAAGGCTGAATAAAGGGCACAATTGCACTGTTCTTGTTGCCACCTCAGTTGAGCAAGCTGTTGACTATTAATTTGCTGTACTTTGGGCTAGATAGCCGAACCTCTCCAGGTCCCACAGAGCTTGTGTCACAACAGAGAAACACTGATAGGCGTTTTCAGTGTGTGTTTGTTCAAAATATTCCTTTCAGGAAAAAAAGCTTTTGCTGGGTGTAATTGCTTGTATTGTTGGTGGCAAGAGAGGAGAGGAAGGACATGGACACAGAACAAGAAAGTCTTGCACAAGTTGCAGATTTGGTGCCACTGGCCTGTGGCATGTGGAAGGCAATTAGTGAGATTACAGGCCTGTCTCTGCTTCTCTCTACACTCTGCTCTTGCTCTGGCATCACATAAAAGGCATTGTGGCATAATTGCAACAGAATGCAGAGCCAAAAAGGAAAGCTATTATTATGGGAAAAGAATGTCTGGGGAGGTTGTTAGTTAATGACAAAAAGTGTTTACTAAGAATAATAATCAGGGAAAATAGAGTAATGGTATTCTGTGATGTGTGACATGGATTTTTTTTAGTTTGTTCTTTTCAGGCATATGTCTCTAATCTAAACAGTAATTAAAGTGTAGACTATTTCTCCTGTATCATCAACAGTTTTTATTGGAGGCTATTTTTATGTTTTTGTAGGAAGGTATTTTGTCTTTCATTTTCTCTCCATTCCCTTGAACCTCAAGTCAAAATCATTAAAGCATAAGTCTGTTTTACTTAGAATAAGAAATATATTTAATCTCTTCTTTGCATTTTTCACTTTCAACACAATGATAAAACTAGTCCTGAATGCTTAAAGAGGGTTTTGTGCTTGTCCAATAATATAGTTTATTTTGAATGTTTTCACTTTAATGGCTCTGCACTCCTTGAAAAGATGTGGTTATGGGAGAAATACAGAGCTGCCACCTGGAGAACTATAAATGCAGATAAAGCTCTATTCATTCAGCATGGATCAGGCTACTTTCTGTTACCTCAGAACCTGTCCTTTTATCTTCTTTTTACCCTGTCTGTCCAGATTTTACTGATCTGCTTCAAAATTTTAATGCCAGTGGGTCCCTAAGTGGCATAATCCATGACAGCTTCAAGTAGCTGGAGTTCCCCAGTTCCTGGTTTGGCAAGGAAAAGTTAGCATGTCACAGTAGAACCTTGGGCCATCACTGTATCATGTTTTACTTTTGCCTGGATACATGCAGCAAATACTCAGTGTTTTTGTTTCCTACAGATGAATGTTAATGATTGTCATGACCCACCAAAGTACTGGACTATCCATGGATTGTGGTATGATCAAAGAGTGGTTTTATTTCAGCCTGAAAAGGAAAAATCAAATTTTGTACCAGGATGTTTAGTGATTTGGTTTTGTTGGGTGGGGTTTTTTTGTGTTTTGTTGGGGTTTTTTGGTGTTTTTTTTTTTTTTTTTTTTGGGTTGGTTTTTGTGGAGTTATTTTTGGAGATCTTAATCTGTCCTTATGATTGAAACAAAATTAAAACCTTACAGTTTGACATGAAACTGAAATTCACTTCTATATCTCATGACTTGTTGAAATCCTCTGGCCACATAAGCATTTTATTTACACACCTCCTCTTAAGATCAGAAATAGTCTCAAGCACAAAGGGAATTATTGTTTCTCTCCTTTTCTTTTGTCTGTCTGAGTAAAAAGAGTTTGTTAATATCTCATGACTGCTTGTGGCTTTAAGTATCTTATCTTGCCACACAAATATTGCAGAAGTGTAAGAAAAACGAATTTGCTTCAAAAGAATCACCTCACTGGAATTGATGCCAATGGCAGCAATCCAAAAATTTTTCAGACAAATACAGGTTAAAATCGGTACAGGAGTTTAAGCTGTGCCTCTTGGAAAAGTGAACATCATTATGTATTGATTCCCTGCGAGTATCTTGGTGACACTTGCATGAACATCAGATGGGACAGCAATTCAGGAGGTCATGTCAGTAGTGACACCAGTGACATCATGTGCAAGACCTTTCCAAGTCATTGGCACACCCAAATGACTTTTACATAGAATGAAAGGGACCAAAGGGCCAAACAAAGAAATCACGACAAAAGCTTTTGGCCGTCTTCTGAATCTTCATGAAAAATCTTTTGGCCATAATTAATGTCTTGAAGGTTTTACTTCTAAACCACTGTAGGTTCTTATGGTTTACTTGCATTTTTAAGTAAGATCTCCAGCTATAATCCTGCATACTTAAAATTCAGGATAATGATATGTTAGTTACCAGTAGTGAGTTAAGAGACATCTTTTTTCAATTTTATTTTGCTTCCCTAGGCCTGACAGAGCTGAAGACTGTAACAGAACATGGCATTTCAATGTCACTGAGATCAAGGTATTTAAAACAAAAACAGACATACCAGGCAGAGCTAAGTGCAATTACTTTTGCACATCCTATATACAAAATCTGCAGTTCATAATATCATTCCTAATGCTTACTGAGGGGTGTGGTTTGTTAAGGACTCCTGAAATTCTTTTAGAGCTTCTGGTACTATTTGAAGCTGCTGTCTTTGTGATCGTTAGCATCTGTACCTACTTGATTTTGTGAACATGCAGTTTGGCTCATTCAGCCACATCCTCCTTAATAAAATCTAGAGGTCCATCACCACATAGGTGATGGATCTGCACTGACAAAAAGCACCTGTGAAAAGAAAGAGATTCAGTCTCTTTCTTTTCAGTCTTCACATTTTCTACTGCAAAATCAAAATAAAGAAACAAAGAGCTCAGAATACTGCTTTCTGTGTGTTTTCTCCTAGGCCATTAGTCCTCTTATTGTTCTTTTTCTCCTTAAAAAAGAACCCAGTGTATTTAATTCAACAAAATTCATTTAGGTTTTGTAAACGCATATAGGGATAGGGGACTTGAGCCTGACAAATATGAAACACTGCATGATTGTACAACTTCTCTGTTGGCAGGGACAGTTGAAGGAAAGTCTTGCTTTGAGGCAGTGTGTCAGTAGTGGTATGTTCAGATATGTAGGTAGGTGTACCTGTTACCTCCAACGACAGCATTTTCAGAATATGGGAAAAAAAGATCTTTTATTTTTCTTCAAATAAATGTTTCAGTCATGGACACTGAAAGATGAGGCTTCAGTTGTAAAAAATTTATCAATATATGTAGATTGTATAAGAAACAGCTTTTCAATGCTGTAGGTGCATTTATTAATTGTGGTATTTTTAGGATCTTTTGTCAGACATGAGACTCTACTGGCCTGATGTGCTTCATTCATCTGCGAATCGCACCCAGTTCTGGTGAGTACAAAAAAGCCCTAAAAAGCATTTTGGATATTATTTTATAAAAATCTGTCTGAGTAGTTCTTCAGGTGCATTAGAGGAGGTGTCCAGGTGGCCACTGAAGCAGTGTGTCTTGCCAGTCTCATTTATAGTATAGATCTGTTCTCATAAAATACAACTGTTGAAGACAGGGCTATAGCAGAAGTTTTAGAGAAATGAAACTTAGTGAGAAAATGTTTCCTCCCTTTATCCCCAGGGAGAAGAAACAGCTGCTGTTGATACATAAAATCTAAGTAGCAGTAGCACTCTTGGGATATCACAGGTAGCTGCAAGAGCAGCTTCCAGATCTCTTTCCCTAGCTAGTTTCACTGTATTGCTGGTCTTGAGACAGCATTTGTTTTGGGCTTCCTCATAGAAGAGAAAATAGAGAAATAGAATGCACTGTGCCATGGTAGCCACTTCCCTGTTCAGTGAAGTTAGTGACAGCTGCTCTGTGCTACCACCAAGCTCATGGGTGCAAGAGGTGCAGAAGGATGGAGGCCTTGATGAACACCTGTAGCTGTAGTCAGTATCTTTTTTTTTTCCTTTGAAATGTCTGTGCTGCAAAATAGTGTGACATTGTGAAGAGTATAATCTTAAAGTCTTGGTAAATATTTTGTGGAAACTAAAGTCTCTATCCATTCTGGAAGCTCACAGGATTGATTAAAACACTTGGGCCTGGTGCATTCTTGGCTTGCTGCAGATGATGGTTCACAGGCACTGTCAGTGCAGACTTCCCCAAACCACTCCAATAGCAGTTCCATGGTAGCAATAAAAGGCTTCTTGAATGCCAACAGGTCTTTGGCCCTCTGTTTTTTGCTTTCTTTATAGAAAGAGCAGGACATTTCCATATAAGTACTACTGAATTCAAAAGACAGGTACATCACCATTAGTTTTACATACATGCCTGTATACACTCCCTGAACTGAAATTGTCATCCTTGTCATCCATGCAAAGCCTTGCCTCTAGCTTGCTGCTGTTTTAGTAGCCCTTTGGATCTGACTATTATCTGCTTCTGATCCAACCTAACTATATTTCTTGCTAAGTTTACCTCTAAAAGAGCTTCTGTTTACTTTAAAACTGTGATGTCTTTTCTCATTAGTAATTTAAAATCCCTTATGGAGAAATCTGCCCATGGAAACTGTATTCTTCTAGGCAATAAACAATTCATTTGACATGCAGTTGTGTTGAATGTTACAGCCAAGATGAGAACTCTCTACAAGGCTAAATTTGGGAAGATACAGTGAAAATCTTACAGTAAAGCGTCTTCTCCCTTGCCTCAAATCTCCTGACACCACAGTTGCTGTATTAATTTTCTGTTGAGAAGTAGTACACTATTTCTCTAGATCCAAACATAATTTCTTTTAAGGTGTTTTAATTCCTTAAGAAAAATCAGAAGTTTTTAGTATAAATGGACAATTCCAAGGTAGGCTTTCAAGTGAATAATAGTTGTCCTTGTCTGCTTTTTGATGATGTACTTAAGGCATCATCAGGTCACAGGATGCTGTGATGATGGCAGGAGTATGTGATTAGGTAATCTTTGTGTACATCTGCTGAACTGATACCTATATAGTACAAGTGGATTGTGAAAATTTGAAAATAATTTTAAAAAAAGACATTCACAGGCAGTGTCACTAAAGGTTATGCTGCTTAGTCTTTCAAAGGACTTTAGAATTGATAAAAACATTTTTGTCTTTTTCCCAATTTTTGTCCTGTTTGAGTTTGTCTGCTGTACACTGCAAGAATTTCTTTTGCTCTCTATTCCTTGCTCTTAGGAGAAAGGATAGTGGATTAGAAGCAAGACTTGAGAGGAGACCTATGAAAATTCTGCCACAGGCTAGCATAAAAGCTGATGCTAAAATCTAGCAACTTGTGCAATTTCACTGTTTCACCCAAAATGAGGCTTAATCCTTTGAGTTTAGAAAAAAAAATTAGTGCTTTGAAAGTGCATTTAACACAAAAGGTTCCACTAAAACTTACAAAAAGCATAGAGGTAGTAATTTTCTAGGCAAATTCTGTGCATTCTGACCTCCAAACATCTTTGTGTAAATCCACTGATAGGTCATTGTATCATAAGAGCATTATATGTATTTGCTTCATGAATATATAGATGTTGCTGTAATTGAAGTAGTGGGAGTGATCTTGTTTGGGTTTACTTTTTACATGTGTGATAAATTTGAATGCAGTATCCTACTCCACATGTGTAGCCTTTTGGATACATGATTTAAGTACAATGGCTTGTACAGCACATATATCTACAAACAATGTGTTCTAAAACTTGAATTTTGCTTTTCTCCTATAGGAAACATGAGTGGGACAAACATGGCACTTGTGCAGCCACACTTGAGGTCCTTAATTCTCAGAAAAAATACTTTGGTAAAGCCATAGAACTCTACCAGCATGTTGATCTCAATGGGTATGTAAATGAACTCAACAATCTGGCTTTTATTTCAAACAGTTCCTAAAGATTTCAGATCTAGCCTCAAATGAAAGTCTAAAAATCTGATGGCAGAGAGGAAATGAGAATTAGCATAAATTATTTTTAGTACTGAAGTTCAGAGGAAGAGTTGTTACCCTGAGAAGTAGTCTCTGGTCACTTCAGTCAGATAAGCCAGCATCATTCTTAGCATCCTTCTAGACAGCATGAACCAGTAAATTTTTGAGCAGCTTTACAGGCTGTATCTTGATACCAAAAGCTATGGTACCTCAAGTTCTAAATCAAGTGACAAACCCCCCAAACTTCTGAATCATGCTGAGCCCCAAACACTTGTTTTTAAGACAGTGCTCTGTTCAGGGGAAAGGACAAGGTGCAGGCAAAATCATGCAGGACATCCTGGGAAAAGGCTGAGAGGCAACTGCAAGAGAGGAGGTTGTGAAGGGTTCAGTTGCTGCAGGCAGTCCTCTGCTGTTCTTTGTGACAGCCCTGATGTGACACCCTTGCTTTGTCCTAGAGGCTGATTTCTCCTTATTGTTCCAAAGCACTGGCCATTCCAGATTCAAAGTCTTAAGGAGACTGTTGTGGCTTGTCCGAGTGCTGTATGCATGTGTTCTGGCTGCAGTTGAATGCCAGAAGGTTAGAGTCCTTTCCTGATCAGTGCTTCCTATGGGTGAGAGGATGTTTGACTTAGATTTGTTGACCATGAGGGGACAGTATCTGAGAGACGAAATAGTTTCATACAAAGAAATATACCTTTAAAAAACTCAAGAAAACAACCCCAAAGAAACCCCAAACCAGCTCATCCTGTTTATGCTCTGCCAGTATCCTTTTCACAAAGAAAATAAGCCTTTCTTCCCTTCCATCTTGGTTTAGAAGATATCTTTTAAAACTGTTCTAAAAGGGTTTTCAGTGTTTGAGCATGTCATATGTAATGTTAAAATTAATTATGTCTAAGTTAATTGCCTAAGTAGCTGTGATGGCGTGACTAAAACATTTACAGATGGCACAGTGACCGATGATGTGACTCTGTATCAGCATGTGCAACACTGCAAAAGAATTGAGACTGAAGCATGTTGAATTAATTGCTCAAAGCTTATTATCTATTGTGAAAATAAGTATAATTAATTTTATCTTCACTGAAGAGAAAAAAGACTGAAAATGTTCTCATTTTATATCATTTCTACTTGAAAAACAAAAAACATCAGTGTTTAAAAAAATCGTTTCCACAAATCAAATTATTAAAAAGAGGACATCATGCAGCCTTCTGTAAGAATTAACAGAAGATCATCTATTTTATTGGTCTCCTTATATCCAGTGTAAAATGACAGTGAAAAACTGCTTGTCCTTTAGTCAGCTGGATAAAATCTTCCTTGTGCCAAAACCGATCTTGGAAGGGAAGGGTTGAGCATTATCAGCATTTATGGATTAAATCCTGCAACATACTGACTATTTCCCCTTCTTACAGAAGAAGCTGTAGGGACTCACAGACTCATCATGGGTTAGGTCATGAGTCTTGTCAGCTTGTCAGGAAATGTGAACTCCTCTCAGGACTGAGCCTAAAGGAAGGAGTACACAGGCTACAGGTTCTTGAGCACTACCTCATTTCTCATGTGACCAGCTTTTCCTCTTCAAAAACATATTTATTAGGAACAGTTTCTCCCTGACAGTAACAGTGATTCTGATTGACATGCTGTATCCCTGTCACAGTGTGCTGTGTGTCTCCCACCACAGGAAGCCCATCCTGTGTTTGAATGTGAGGGTGCCTGGAACACCCTCACAAGTCTGCCCCTGTGCCCTCTGCAGTGGCAGGAGCGCAGGGGAGTGACTCAAGGCAGGGGAAAGGAAGCATTTAAACTGCATTCTCTACCTGGCACTGAACAGAGCACTCTGAAACTCCCTTTCCTCTAGCTGTGTCTGAAGACTGAGCTATCCTAGTTCCTCATGTTAAGGTGTGGGAAAGTGTTCTTTCTGACCCTTCCAAGTTGGATGGGAAGTGTTCTTTCAGAAAACAGCTGGCAAAGAATGAAAGACAAGTTGTCCTTGCTCCCGTCACCATAATGCTTGACAGGTTCTTAAGATCTATTTTACCTAATGGTTATGAAGGTGTGTTTGCATAGAGAAAACATGGAAAAATGTTTTATCTTTGTTTCAGTTGTCTCTTGAAAGTTGGGATAAAGCCGAGCAGTTCATATTACAAGGTAAGAGTCAGTCTTTAATAAAGCAAAATCATGTGCATAGACTTTTTTTCAGTAGGAGTCAACTAGTTTATGTAGAACAAATGATCTTTTGAAATTTTATAGTTCTTTAAGGTTGTGCTTTTTATAAAAGTTTTGAGAGCTTAACCAGTGTGGGAGCTGTTGGAAGATGTGCTTGTGACCTATTCATCTCTATAAGCTTTTTGATTTTTCAGATGACTGCTATTAAGGAAGCTCTTACAAGATTTTATGGTGTAACACCAAAGATCCAGTGCCTTCCTCCAGAAGAGGTAAAAACTCCCCTAACTTCCCAAAATGGAAAAAAAACCAAACAAAAATTTTTTTTTTTTTTAAGGAGCACTTTCTATCAGAAATATAGCAAAAATAGAGTGAAAAAATTTTTGGTATGGTAAAACTTAGGTCTAGGTGTTCTTTGTGTATACAACTGTTTGCATATAGGTATTTTTTGATTCTTGGCCTTGGGTTTTAAAGGTCTCTTTGTCTTAAAAGATTTAAACCAGCATCTCTTGCATGTATGCTGTAACCACCCTGCTGGAGGTATTGCTGTAGCTGGACACTTTCCACTATGCCTGCTAAAGTTCAACTGCTGCATGCCAGATTGCTGAAACCAACAAGAGTGAGCTGAATGGAGGCAGTGAATATCAGCCTTGGTGAGGGTGCTGCTGTTAGAATCCTTCTGAAATAAAGCAACTCAGAAGCTTGTCTCTGAGATTGTTCCAGAGAGCCCATACCTAAAGAGGTCACTGTAGTCTTTCCTTTTGAACCAAGCATGTCTCAAATTTCCATGTCTTTTTATTTTTCCTTGCCAGTAATTGTGCTGTGCATCATGATGCAGTAGAGAAGGTGCTACACAGAGACAGTGTTTTGTAAAGCATAGGTCACCATATCTGAACCAAAAGTGCCTTTGAAGGAACAAAATAGTGTTCTGAACAATTACATGTGTAGGTTTTAGAGCCCTTTCTTTCCTTTTTTTCTGCTAGGTTACTCTGCTCTTACAGAAAAATAAAGCAAGAAACAAAACCCACAAGGTTAGCTTTCACTCTTATAAGTGGCTCCTTCTTATCTCAGCTTGTTCAAGGTGATTTACTACAGGACTCTTGGCAGAGTTACTGCCCATATGCAGGCAACAATTTATGAAATCCTGCTAAGATAGAGTTGCTCTTGGAGTGTGTTGTCAACTCCTGCTTTAGTAATGCTCTGAGGTTTTTCTACTCATGTTTTTTAACATGAAAAAAAAAACTATACCTTACAATATTTTTAACATGTGTTTATAAGTTACTTTAAGGAACAAAGGAATTTTAGTTGAATGTGGGTTGTATACTCCCCCACCTTTTGACATGAAAGAAATACAGAGCTAACACAAACCCCAGTTTCTAGATCCGTTCACTCTAGTTCTGCCATTGCTTTTAGTATAGTACACTTGAGATACTGTTCCAATTGCATGAAAGTAATGTACAGCTTGGGTCTCCTGCACTTACCTGCTGAAGGAATTGGGTAATAGAAATGAAAAGGTACATATCAGGTATTTGAAGATAGGCTTTTTTCAGAGTTCTGAACTTGTCCATGCCTGAAGTGCATGGTGGAGGTACTTCGATGTTTGAAATGGATTAGACACATTCTCTGTTCTTAGGTTTCTTAAAAAACACCCCAAAATAAACAACCCCCCCAAGAACACAAATTCAAAACAAATAAAAAACCCTCTCACCTCAGTTACTTTTATCTTCTATGTATCTTTTTGTCCTGCTTAATTGTTTCAAAACCATTTTTTTCTGCATTTTGTTAGACCTGAGCGTTGGGGGGGATTTTCCTGTAATCTTTTTGCCACATGGAAGGTCTCTGTGCCTACCTGCTTTATTGGTAGTCAGCATTTTTCTCCCTGGCCTGTTCTGTAGTCCAAAAATGACACCTCTGCTCCTTCTGTCAGCTTGCTTCTGTATTCTTTTGTGTAAAAGCTATTCTAAAATTTAGTTTCTCTTCTCATGCATGGAGAATTTTATTTTCCCTCAATTCCTGACCTGCTATGAAGAATTGGTGAGAAGTGTCTTTCTGGTCACATGTGCCCTTGAATATTCACAGAGTTCAGCCAGAGCTCATAATTGTGCAGATGAGTAAAGACCAGGATAATGTGTCACAGCATTTCACAATGAGGCTTACTAGTTAGACAAGTCCCAGATTGGTACTGAGTTACAGTATATACTATAAGCTGTTCAGAGTGCATGCCTCTTGTACTTTTCTTTGCATTTTCATCTGGTAAGTATACAAAAAAATCACTACTGTATTGTATAGATAGGGCAATGTAGCTGAAGAATTGATTTCTTTTCTCCTTCCCATGAGGCTGATCTTACCCTTCATGTTTCTAGGGTGAAGAAGCACAAACAATTGGCCAGATTGAATTCTGCTTCACCAAAGAACTGCAACTGGTGAACTGCACAGCGCGGGAGGGTGGATCCAATGCAGTGCAGGCTCACTTGAAGCTCGGAACTTCGGAGCTGTCGGTCTGCAATGATACTCTCCCAACCTATTATCCTTCAGAGGTCCAAAATCACAAATGAAGCCATAGGAGTTTGAAAAACTTTTTCAACAGCAACAAAACCCACAGTCATGTAATATTATGAGCCCCTGTCCACATCACAGACCTATAGTGAAGATTTCTTCTAGAAAAGAGAGTTATTTTGCTATTAAAGAAGAGTGGTCCACATTATGAGATCAGCATCTGATCTTACAGCATGGTCTGGATTTTTTGGCTTGCTTATGGTTTGAATCAATGTTCAAAAGAGAACTGTGACTTCTCAGTTTGTCATGCAATTGTCTGCCACTTGGTCTGCTTTTTGGTTTTTACCAGTGAGTCAGGGAACTTAATTCTTTGTATTGAAAGGATGATTGTCTCTCTGAGATGAGGTGACAGTTTCTTGAGAGGGAAATATTGTACTCTTGAAACCTGTCTGGATTCCCAGATGTAATAGCCACTGCCTTGCATAATTGCTCTCCAGAAGTACAGAACAGAGATCATATCCTCTGAGGTGTTGAACCTTTGTTCACTGAGAGATCACAGTGGACCAAAGACAACTTTTGCATAACTTCTTAGTGAAGTAATAATGTTCTCCAAGTTTGGGCTTTTCTACTTTGAAGATCTCAGGGAAACTGTATTTGTAGCCTTACCTGTTCTTTGATTATTTTCATGACAATAACTCTATACAGACTTGGGGAACAACCAATTCTACAACTTACATGTTAGTACAGGAGAATGGTAGGCCCTAGAAATATGTTGTTACTAATTTTGTGTTTGAGCATTCAGCATTACTACTTGTGAGTGCCTGCACTTGTATATAAACAAGATTTTCACATCATCACTTTGTTCCAAGAAACATCTTGTTATAGGTGAAACAATAAATACTGCCAGATTTTCAGTAAAAAGTACAGATATTGGCAAAAGTGCATCTCTACCCCATAACAATGACTAACATGACACGAAGATGGATGTTTCTAAAGGGAACCAAATTTTGATGGCGTCTTCCCAGTGCTGTGTTGATCTGTGTGTCTCAAATAAAGACAATTATGGCTCAAGGAACCATCTGTTTGTTAGAATAATGTTACTGTGAAAACATGAAATGCAGTATTAGAAACAAATTTGTTATTTTGAGGGGGTTAGAAACCATTTACTCTCATTTTTGACTGTCCCTATTTCTCTACCACCTTTCATTTAATGCTCTGTTAACTTTCCATTCCAGAATGCTCTCAGTTTCTTTGGCCTTTCTTGAAACTTAGATATTTATTTTAAGAGCCAAGAAATTATTATGGTCTGTCAAACACGTGAATGTTGGGTTTGCCTGTTTTTCTGCAGTTGCTTGAATCCCTCAGTCCTGTTTCTCAGGCAAAGGTAAAGCTGACTCTTGCCAAAAGGAGTCAGCAGATACGCACATGAATAACAAATGACCAAACTCTGCAGCAGAGTAGATAGAATGGATTCCATGAATTTTTCAGCCTCATTTTCAAATGCAAGAAATGTGAAGGAGCTGATAAGTCTTAAAACTTTGAGGAGAAAATAACATAGTCCAAAATGAGTGAGGGAGACAACATGCCAGCAACTGAGTAAAAATTGACTGAGAAAAAGTAAAAGCTTGGGTAAACAACCTCACATACTCTGAAGTCCCATTTAAAGGGACATACCCGAAGTACAGTGTTTGCCTTAAAAAACCTGCACCCACGTACTTTTTATTACAGATTAAATAATTAAATTTTTTATGGTGAACTTCTGAGTAGCACTAAAACACTGTGTATATAATTACTCATGCTTGGGTTTTGGCAAATCCATCTGGGAAGATACAAATGTCTTTTTAAAGCTACCTACTGATTTTTGTAGAGAGATGTGCCAAGACATTATGAAGTTTTAAGTGATATATTTAAGGGATGCTTTAAGGTCTGTATCTGGGCAGCCAGGAGAGCAGATGAATGAATGTTACCACTACTTCAGACCAAAGACCATGTCCAGCCCTTTGTGTTCTTTCTAGCAATGGCTTACAGCCAGGTGTGAGCCTTGTCAGTTGCTTTCCAACAGAATGTGTATAATTTCAAGAGTTGGATTAAGGCAGTTTAAATAAAAGAAGTAAACAAAGGTATATGGGGAGCCATAAAATTCACTTCAGTTCTGAAAAGTGTCACTCACTTCTTTGTGCAATATAAATTCTGTCAACCTTGAAAATTCAGCACAGCATGGGGATGATGGGTTCTGTATTCTTTTCTGCATCATTGAATAAATTAACTAAATTCCAGCAGAGATGTTGTGTGCTGTCTCAGTGGTTTAAAACACTACTCAACTCCACAAAGGGACTTAGCTTGTTTATACCCTTAGCCTGTGTGCTCTCTCATGAAAAATGCTTAAGCATCCCTTGGCATGTAGGTTAGAGTGTGGGTGTGTATCCCTTTTCCAAGGACAGCCCCTCTTCCTGGGCCATGGGCAGGTTCTTTTCTCTCTGTTGTTTTTTTCTCTCTCTCTTTGTGGCCTGCACCCAGCCTTTCTCAGCTGCACAGGAGCCCAGTTTGAGCCAAGTTTATGGTGGGGCGGAATAGGAGATTGGGAAATACAGCTTCTGCTCAGCTTCCTGAGGTACATACATCTTGTGCTGGGGCACATCTGTCTCTCCCTACCAGCAGACAGCTGATCTGCCACTGCCAGCCTGAACAGGAGATGGGAGAAGCAGAGAGGATCTGTCCCCATCACTCTTGTTCTTAGCGGGGACAGCAGCTGGCAGCAGTCACCCAAGGGATGGGCAAAGCTTCCTCTGCAGGCTGGAATGGAGGAGGCACAGGCCTCTGGCTGAGTCCCTTCTCTGCACCCTTGGTGGCTGGAGAGGGCTGGGCTGTGCTATTGCCCCAGCTGCTGCTGACTGGAGGGAGGAGTGGGGGCAGGACTGCAATGTTTACACAGCTTGTCAATATACTGCAAATTAAGTCCCACCAAGGGAGACAGGCTAGGTATTTCCAGCTGGGGGGTTGGGAGGAGGGATTTTGACCAGAATGGGTCCTGGAATTTGGGCTTCTCGGTTCTGGTGTGGTTCTGCTTCAGTCAGCTGTGCTCTGGATCTGGCATTGAGCACTGTTAAGCCAAGGCTACAGAAGGTTAATGGTGCTGCTAACAGTGTTATTGATGCCTGAAGATGCAAAGAGAAATTGTCAGGACTTTGCAAGTTGCTTTCCCAGGAATGGAGCAATCAATGATGAGGAATGTTGTACTTATTGTAAATTCAGACTCATGCTGATACGGCAGCTTCCTTCACAAGGGTCACTGCATGCCTCCTGTTCCTGTAAATATTTTCTGTTCCACGAAGTTGCCATAGATCACCAAGAGTTGATACAAATAATTAATTTTAGAAAGGATTAAAATTTCTCATGCTTTGAAGAAAAAGAGGTTTTGAATACAGGCTAAGTGATCTTCTATACAAAGTGATGTAGGAGATCAGCAGATTATTTTTGTTTGTGTTTGTGCTGCAATTTTCAGTATTCCTTACCCCAAAGTACACTGGAACATCAAAGACTATTGGAGGAGGATTAAATAGACCTCAGGGTCAGCCAAACCCAACCATGCCCACAGATTGGTGGTGTAAATCAATACATCAATTCATTCAGCATGAAAATCAGAGTGCTGACATTCATTTGCAATGCTTACTCTAAAGGACTGATATGTCGGTAATTTTTTATAAAACAAAAGAAGTAAAAATAACTGTATTTGATAAGAATTTTAAGGTGTTATATAATTCTTAAGCAAGCTGGAGAATACCATAATGGTGTTTTGCAAGAAATACTGTTTTGAGTACGGCTGATTTACCAGAAAAGAGGCTGTTTGCTTAGGTTTTTTTCCATAACTCACACAATTTTTCCTGTTAGAGACCTGTGCTCTGCATGGAAATCAGGAGAGAGGAGCCAAAACAAAATTAGCAAGAATTAAAAGCACAGCAATTACCTTGTAACAATTACAATCTCTGTAAGCAAGCATGATGCATCCCAGCAGGTACCTGCCGTTACATCGCTTACTTCTGCTTAGTATTGAATAAAACTTGCTGCTGTCAGCCTTGGAGGGACTTCTCTCTATCCAAAGTGCTCAGCTGAGGATAGAGAAGCTGTGTGTACTTCTAGCAGAGGTTGGAAGAGCTGTCATGTCACCTGACTGCTGGGATTTTGGCCCATCAGCCTTCCACAGATCCATCTCCCTTCCCAAGATTTCATAGGTTAGGTTATGAAGGTGGCATGTACCCAGCTGACTTGTGCCAACAATTCCCAGTGCCAGATGTTGTGGGCTTGTGTTCCAAAGAACATTGTGAAGGGACTGCCCCTCCTCATAAACCCTAATTTGGAGATATTTGCTAAATGCCTGGGCTATGCATTTGTCAAGGATTTATTAGCCAGGAGGCTGGCTGACTGATGTGTGAAGTGGGAACCACTTCCTTTTCTCCCAGACTCCCAGATGCTAGAGGCTTAGAATACTCATATCCTGCTGAGGGGGTTGTTTTATACATAACAGCTGGCCCTGACTTATTTTTTATCCTTCTGCCCCTGGATACCTTCAGAGATTTTAGTCTCACAGTTTCTGTGGGATTTAGTGAGCAGCTTGTCATTTCTGAAGCCTACTGCAGGATAACCACTGTAATAAAATAGCTCTGGGACAGAAACCACCCTCTCATTTCCAATGCCTTGTGTTGTTTTCTCTTTGATTCCCTTCATTATCCTCAGTGACTTGAGAGATGAATGGACCATGCTTTTGATCTTGCAGATTAACTGAAGGCACAAATATTGTAAGAGAGAAAAATCTCTTGAATCTCACCGACAAAATATTCTCAAATAAACACCTATTTTCTCTCCCCATTTTTCCCCCTCTATGATTTTAAAGGATTCTGACTGCAAGGAGCCCTCAGGTCTGAAAGAAGGTAGGTGAATTGATGGATAGCTTTTAATCTTTTATTTGTTATGTGTTTGGCACCTGGTTTCTGGCCAGCCTGTCTGATTAACAGACTTGCTGTCACACAGCTGACCAAGAACAATATCTCAAAAATTGAATTTAAAAAGGTGGGGGAAATGGGTATTTATTAAATTAGTTAACAGTCTTGAATCCTCACTTACTCAAAAATATAGCATGACTAGCCTGGTCTGTCTGGGCACATGGGAGAACAGGGAAATTTGGGTATGTTTTCTCACTTAGCTCTGCCATCATCCCCCCTGCAAGTGAAATTCAGCTTGAAATCTGATGACAATCTTAAGTCTCACAAATTAAATAAGACTTCCATCTACTTGCTGTCTGCAGAGGACCATTTCATCCTCCCTAGCTTTGGATAAGTAACTGAAGTCTAAATGCTTAAAAATATCATGGCTCTTAGAGGTAATAGAATATGTGGTCCCTACAGTGGTCAAAACCCTGTTTAAGCAGCTGAGCTCCTTTTGCTTACATGGTGTGAAATAAGCAGCACTGCAGAGAGATGCCTCTTGCAATAGCTGGACTGAGTCTTAAATCCAGCTTCTTCCCAGGGTGGCAAGGAGGAATGTCCTGCTGCTCTGCTGCAGCCCTTCCTAAGCCTTTTGAGATAAAACAGGAATGGCATTCCTGGCAGGAGTGCAGACAGCACTGGGTAGTGCAAATGAGCACTGCTTAGTCATGTGGCACAGTCACACTCTTCCAGTCACCCCAAAGAGGTTTCTGCTGCTACAAAAGGCCTCTGGAGAAATTGCTGAAGGAGATTTTGTAGCAGAGATGAGAACCAAGGGCTTCTCCCCACTTCAGGCAACCTAGCCAGTTTTCTTCACAGCTTCACAAGGAGAGACATGGAGGAGACCTGTGCAGAAAAAAGCCCTCAGTCTGGTGGTTTGGATGCTCAGAGGGGAGGAAGAAGTCCTTGTTGCTGTTTGTTCCTGCCAAAGGGAGAGTGGAAGGGACCTCCTCTCCTGTGTCTGGGACTATTGCTCCACTTGCTGACTCCTGCAAACAGCTCCAGCACTTTCAGCTGTATGTTAAACACAATGGGTGTTGTATTTTGCAATGAATTTTATCCTGTTGGGATAAGTGACATGGATTCTTAGAAAGCTGCCCCAAAAACTGGCAGGTGAAGAAATAACCTACCTGGAGAGGAAGGAGTGCACTGGGTGCTGAAACTCCTCCTCCTCCTCACCCAGATGGATGAGCTTCAGCAACATATATCCAAGTGTCTGGAGAATGTTAGAAGAAAATGATGAGAGGGAGGACCTTGCAGAACAAGGTGCCAGGTGAAGCAGAGTCTCAGATAATGAGATTTTATGTTTTTCATGCCTAAATTTCCCCAAATTTCAAAGAAGCTCACATGCTTTTTCTCATCCATCTCTTAAAATTTGCTTAGCAGCGTTCTGTGCATTTCACCTTCTCCAGCTGAATTCTGCTGGAAGCCACTAGTGGTCAGTGGTGGAAATATTAATTACTGGCAGCTTATTTTATAAGCCACAGGGAGCCAGACAGAGACAATTCCATAACCCTAAATTATAAATAATGTATTATCTAATAGAGATGCTGAAGTCCCTTTAGGCTTACAAATCAGCCAGTTAATAACTTTTTGGCTTAGACGTACTGAACACTGTAATAACCTGATGTCATTTTGAACACAGCAATTAAGTATTCAGTTTACAAGACAAATTGAGACTCATTAGAGTCAATCAGGGAGAATTACACAAACTTAAATTGCAGATATTTATCACAGTTTCTCAGAAGAAAATTTTATTAGCTATTTTGAAAGAAAAAGATGCTGCTTTGTTATTCTGTAAAAGTACTGCCTTCTTTATAAAGAGCTTCTAATGATCTCCTGTTCCAATCCTAATGTTTTTTGGTAATCTGACTGCACCATGTCATTATAGACCATTGTGAAATTAGAAAGTGAGTGTGACAAGTAGATCACACTGGCAATTTCTTAGCAATTTATTTTAAGATTTTGCAATTGTGATGGCTAGAAGGAGGCAAAACTTTATTTTAGATAATGCAGTAGGAACTGACTTAGAAACCAGTGACTTCCAGTACACTGGACAGAACGAAACCAAATAACCAAATAAACAAAGAAAAAACAACAACTCAGAAAAAGAAATAGTGAGAATTTATATGCTTAGTTCATCATGTTTGCTTAAATTAGAAAATGTTGGGAATTTTCTAGTACTTTAGAACCCATTAACATAAGTTATTCAAAAACCACTTAGTTAAATGCACAACACATATATTCAATTATTTATGATTGCAATTTTTAATGATTTTAATACCACCCATCTCTGTAAGCT